CATTTACGATCTAACATCATGCCGGCATAGGCTACAAGCGGGCTTCGTTGTGAACAGCATCTCATCCGTGCAAACATCCACGAACACAGTCAATCATCCACGCCCGGACATGTCTCCATCTTCGAAGCTTTGCAGGGGGCCATAAGATAGCCAGCGCAACCAATCATGGCAGTGCAGAAATACTCCACATAGAGACGATCTCTGCGAGTGCACACATGCGGAGCATAGAGACCAAATGCTACCTGGTGTCAGCCTTGCCAGGCCACGGTACGCATAGAGACCAAGCTTTCCATCACGGTCTAGAATGGGCATGTGAATGATAGGGTGGCTTCGCAAAGAGGTGACCCTGCCTTCCACTCTCAAAGGTACTTCTGCCATGCGACTTATACAGGCAGTACATTCAATCATACTGTGTCACAGACACAACGACAACCAAGCACTTCCACTCCAACCCTCCTGGCATGTCACGGCAACCAGGCCTACAATGTAGCAGGATGTCGAGGTAACAAAATGCGGAGAGAATGGCCTACAGAAGAGAGGAAACCTTATGGTAGTACAAATTCGCTCGGCATACTTGGCTTTTGAGGCAACACTATCCTCGATCGACGACACCATGAATTTGCATGCCCTCTGGTACCACCACCACTCAGTTGGCAAGAACCAGCGAACGAGGGTAAGACAGAGCAGCACTCTGCGAGCGAGGGTGAGACAGACCGGCACTCAGGCATACCGACAGCTAAAAAAAAACATGGTCATTTAAAAGTCGCCACACACAAAAATGAATATAAGTCCGCACTCTTCCACACTATGCCTTCTTCACAGATCTTATTTCCGCACACCACTGCTAACACGCAGCTTTTCCATTTCCCGCTTATGCCAGATTCTAAGCTTTCCCGATTCATGACTGGTGTTGTCCATCTCCTGACAGACACGCACGAACCCCCAGACACACACGCACACACACACACACACACACACACACACACACACACAGAGAGAGAGAGAGAGAGAGAGAGAGAGAGAGAGAGAGAGAGAGAGAGAGAGAGAGAGAGAGAGAGAGAGAGAGAGAGGAGCAACAACGTAGGTTTTCACCGTAACGCTGGCCATTGATTTTCTCTGAAATCACTTGAAGATTGACAACTTGAGCATCTGTCAAACGCAAGGTGCAACAACAGTAGATGCCAGCTTTTGGCTCGGGCCTGTTTAGTAGGTCCCCCGCCGCCAATTCCTTTTCATCTACGGCGCTCGGCCTCCTGAATTTCCAGACAGGCTCAAAACAGGTTCTCCAGACAGGCTAAGACTTCAGACCTGGTTGGCTGGTGAATGATTGGTGAATGCTAAAACTGCAAGAGGAAGAGGGTGTATCTATACTAACCTGGCTTGTACGCAATGGATATAGAGACAAAACAACAACGAAGTAAATCCCTTCTGTCACAGGAGCACATTACTAGTCATTGTTAAACCACAAGTACCTCCACGTTCTTAGGCCGTTAACGTGGTGGACGAATTTGCCTGCTGCGCGGGGCCAAATTCATTGGAATCAGAGGGGACCGAAGAATGCTATAGGTACTGGTCGTTTAACAGCTACCATTCTTTACAAATCATTGCTGCGGAGTACCTCTCCCGAGAATTTTTGCCAGACTCGCATCCAGACGTTCGTCGCTGGCCCTGTTACGAGTGTCACTGTTATTCATGTTCCACAGATCATCGCTATAATGCTCGTACTCATTATTATTCTTGTAAAAAAGCAAGCAAACAACGGCAGTTGTTGCTACACCAATCACTGGCCAAATAGCCTTGGGATGGTTACCTTTTAATTCTTTTCAAGATGCTTTAGTTACTAAAGCATTTTGAAAAGAATATGAGAATATTCTATTGATTGAAAATCAAAGGTTTTAATTTGATCTTTCTAATGAATATTCATAATTAAAAAAAAAAAAAAGAATCTAATAATCTATACTCTGGATATACCTCGCCGTTTCACATAGTCGTTGCTATTGTTGTGCCTACCAACTTCACCATAATAGAAAGTCCGGTCATTATCCCTATAATCTGAACTACCCGCAAATACAATGCTAATGACTACAGCATTCTTTAGTGGCAACGGCAGTACTGTATCGCCAGTCATGATTACTACACCTGGCACCAAGCCTATTCTAGTTACACTTGCCTGTTTCACATAGTTATTGCTATCGTTCCTAGTCTATTATCAGTCTTAAACTACCAGTACACCTCTTCGCCCATCAGCAAAAGTCCGGGCTGGGGCACCATTGAGAAACGCATTGGCGGGCCTTTGGAGCCTTTCTGTCCTGCCGCCTCTATGCATGGTGTGCACTGGTGGTTTAAACCACCAGTACTCGACCCATACATCGGCCGAGGCCCTTGTCATATATGCAGCACGTTACACGGGCGTCAGGCCTGCTGCCACAACGGCTGGCAGCCTGCTGAAAAGAGATGTCGCACTGGGAGTTCAACAAAGCTTGGCGTGCCAGCCATTGGCTTTTCCAGCACCCGAGAAAACTGCGCCTTGGAACTATAGGTGGGTTTAAACTACTACCAGGACACCCCGCCCTGGAGAAGCTGCACTGCACGCCAAACTTCTCTAAATTGCCAGGTTCACGCTTGTTTTCTTCTTTGGCTGGCGCCGCCAGCCATTGTGCCCCGATTGGGCTTGACCCGCAAAATTTTCAGAGTAGGCATCTACGAACTCCTGCAAGGCTAGGGCAGGGACTCGCGATTATAGTTTACTCCAAGAAATAACAGAGTTGTTATCAAAGCAGCCCCTCGTCAACCAAGAATGCGACCAAAACGCCTTGCTACGAAACTACCGAGTAGAGGTAAGACTACAGTAAGTGCAATCAGACTTGTATCGAACTTGCTTCAGCGTGCATACATGGTGCATGGCGCCCACACAAAGCTCAGAGATAAATGAGGCCAGGAACACAGCTCAGATTAAAACTTGTCTTGAAATGGCTATCGCATGGGGCGCCAGACAAAGATTCCCACTCGATCAACTGTATCCTCCAGCAACTTATGCACGCACACAAGCTAACACTAGGATCACCCTGGACGTCCCGCACCCACACACTCACACTCACACGCTCTGCACATACACAGAGACCAGCCTCCTAACCGGCAGCTACGCCTGCCGTCTATCTCCTACCACTAACTGGCGGCTATGGCCACGTCTTCCCCCTCTTATAGCCCTCTTCCTCTCCGGGCACCTGCAGACCTCAGTAGCACATAACACGCAGACAGCACTTCCGCACGGCTCACAGGCAGAATGAATGAACGACTTCACGCTACCTCTCTATTCATACTTCGGATCGTCGTTGGTCTGCCCTTGGACTCCGGGCCCGGTGTGCACACAGTCCCACATGGTACTCGCTGACTGGATAAGGTGCGACCTGGGACTGGGTACTGCTGAATAGGCTAGGTAGGACTAGAACTGCCCTTTGCTGACTATGTTAGGACTGCCCTCTGCTGACTCAGACGCCGACTGAGTCCGACTCAGGAAAGGCCGCTCCCCAAGTTTCCGAAAGGTCGTAGACTTGACCTTTCAGAGCAACAGTAACTACAATCTACGCCAACGCTACGACCACTGAAACTAAGACCTACGGTTCAAGACCCGGCGACCACACCATATACAACAGCTGAATATACGACTTTCAGGACACAGGTCGCAGGTTCAAACACATGGGTCAACGGCCACTGTACATGGGCAAGGGGGAGATCTTGGGATCCAGCCCTGGGTGCTGCATCTCCTACTGTAAAAGGTGAGAACCGTTTCAACAAGTAAACACACATTTCAAATCTTTTTTTGTGATTGATGATCGTGATAGTTGATTCCAGTGCTTGGACTCACTGAAGTCATGCCTTCGGCTTCGCCCCCTTGATGTCCTGAGGTTGCCTGGAAGTCCACAGGGGAAACCCCTCCGAATAGGTAAAAGAGAACTCGAAACCGAAGTCGAAACAGCCACAGGCACTCAGCTGATCAGAGATTAGATAGGATTTTCACATGGCTGCACTTTGCATTCGTTTCCTTTTCACAACACTCAGGGCATACTCGCCATTACGGACTGACCTCGATGCATCTGCCCGCAGGCACGTTCAGAGCCAAGTCCAGTTCTCACAATTTCCAAGCTAGAAGTGCACAAGGATGAAGTGAGAACACCCTGCATTTGTTGTTGTTGTTGTTGTTGTTTTTTTTTTTTTTTTTCCTTTGGAAAGGACAACGACCTTGCAATTTCACCATTGGACTGACTCTTTTTCTTTGAACAAGGCGACGACCTCCGAGTCCAGGCAACTGCGAGTTGCCGTACTTACTCCTCTGAGTCCTCTCCTCTGCATTTCAACAGTTCAGGGGTGTGAGGACACCGTTCCTTGAAAATTACTATGCCAAAGAACAGAGAACAACGCCTCCAATTGCTTAGAGGCCTTGTTTCACCAATGTCTCCCTCTGAACATCGGTTGAAAGTGGAACAGTACAGAGTATATTAGCAAGGTCCCTGCAAAGATCACATGCATAAATCCACAAATGGTATAAAGATTGTGGGAACAGAAGAAGAAAGAAAAAAACTATATCTGTTTCTGGACTGTAAACACACAACTACAGTATAGAAACCTCATTCCCCTTTCTAACCACTTCGGCAGTGAAGTTTGGCCCAGAGACGAATAGTGCGAGATTATCGAGTTACCACGAATGGTAAGCATGAAGGACAGTCTATGGGAATCTCAGTGACTCACTTCCACCTTGCACACACACGCGCACGCAAGAGAGAGAGAGAGAGAGAGAGAGAGAGAGAGAGAGAGAGAGAGAGAGAGAGAGAGAGAGAGAGA